AATCCCCCCCGCGCCCCCCCAGGAACCCCCGCCCTACAGAAAAAAAATTAAAAAATCCAAATGTCCCCAACCCTCCGCGCCGCCCCCCCCCCCCAAATTTACCGTGCTGGGGGGGGCCCCAAGCAGGACAGCCCCCCCAAAGCTCAGCGGGGGGACCCCTGGATGTGCCCCCAAACCCCGGGGGGTGCCCCCCACCCCCCCCGGCCCCGCTCCCCATCGCGCACCGGAGAAAAACAGGAAACCCCAAAAATTCGCGCCTGGTTGGCGCCAGCGGGGGAGCCCCCCCCGACTCACCCTGGGCTGTTTCGGGGTTCGCGGGGCCCCCCCGAGCATCCTCGGCGTGCCGGGGGTCTGCAGGGGTTAAAGGGGGGGTCAGGGCAGGCTGCAGCCCCCCCAAAACCCGCTCCGAGCCCTCCCCGCCCCCCCCGGGCTCAGCCACCTGTGTCAGGAGCGGGGCGGGCTCAGCGCGGCCCCCCCACTTCAACCCGGGCAAATTTGGGGTGGGGGGAAAAGCTGGGAGGGGTCGCGGAGCCCCTCGGGACCCCCCAGCCCCGCCGGTCCCGGGCGGCCGCGAGCGACACGAACGCGCCACCGGCCAAAGTCCCCGCCGGTGGCCACCGAGTCCCCGAGCGGGACGGGGGGTGCGGGGTGGGGGGGGCTGCGGCAGGACCCTCCCCCTCCTTCACCCTCCCCGCGCCCCAAAACCGGGCGGTTCGGGCCAGCCGCAGCCGTGACCTTCAGCGGGGCGCGGGGGGCGCGGGGGGACCCCCCGAGGGATGCGGGAGAACCGGAGGAGGCGGGGGAGGGGGGGCCCGGTTCAGGAACGGGGGCTGGGGGGGAATGCGCACCCCAAAACCCTCCCGGGAACGGGAGGCACCGCGGGGGGTCGGGGCGTGCACCCCAAAAAACACGAAAAGGAGGGAAAGCGCTGAAGCGAGCCCTGCACCTGCAGCGGCGGGAGGCGGCGGGAGGCGGCGGGAGGCGGCGGGGGGGGCCCGCCCGCAGCACCGGGAGCCGGGACCGCGGCCAGCGGGGGCTGCACCGGTTCACCGGGGCTTTATGAACGGCGGGAGCCGTGTACAGCGAGGGGAGCGGGGGGGAGATCTCCGGTACGGCCGGGATGGGGGGGACGCGGGGCTGCACTCCCCGCCCCCCGGTGATGCTGCGGGGGCGGCGGGGGGGAACT